AGAACAGAGCGGCGTGAAGTCTCAAAAAATGGTTCATTTATTTTTTGTTCCTGAAAAATTATCTCAAAAATCCAAACTTGGGCGGATACACCACGAATATTTGACGTCTGAGCTAGTTTCCGCTTACTTCACTATCTCCATGCCAACTCTGGACTATATTGCTAATTTGGATTCAAGCCCCGCCCACCACGTCCCATGCACCACCCACCGATGGTTTTTGGCCTTTTCCCTTCGTCAACATTGTCTGCTGTTTCCCCTCCAAAAAAAAAACGGCTGTAGGCCAGGCCAGGTTCCTCGAATCATTGTGTAGGCTAGTGAAAACGTTCTGATTCCTACGCAATTTTCCATCCAACTTGTATACATGGCGCATTTTACGGAAAGTACTCATCAGCAATCGATTTGGTCGAAAAAAAGGCATAAAACCTCCAGCCTTAGTCAATTTTTCGAGATACGCCACGCGTTCTACTTCAACTCAGAATCATGGTAGCATGTTAATGCGGCATGGCCTATGGAGTGATTTATGAGGGCTAGCCGAGGTACAGACCAATGTTTTATCCATGCAGGTAAGCCTGATACCCAGCTGCGAACGCCGGGGGATTGCGTAGTTGACCTATGCAGTGTACGACGCGAGATTCGGCCCCCGACCAATTAGGGGTTGGCACACCTAGCGCCCAATTTTTGACTTTATTACTAAAAACCAACACACTACATAGGAGTGGCCAAGAAAACTCATGGTGAGTGGAGTCTAAACTAGAAATATGTATTTGTAAAGAGAACCTGGAGGATTACTTGCCAACTGATCCATCTGCACGACGTCAATAAGCGCTAATAAACTCATTGCAAGCAACACAAACGTTGGAGTACATTCTACTCTGAAAAAGCGTGTTAGGGTTTCCAATAAAGAATGAATGAACTTGGATTGTCACTGAATCAATGGAACTCTGCGATGGGAGGATTCGGGGAGGATTTCTGCCATCGACCGATTAAAAAACTAATCCGACATCATTAATTCCAGATCAGCTACGCTCTCCATGACAGAGGATCGCAGTTAGAACTTCCTGCGGTGATCCTCCCTCCCCCTCCCTACAAGGAAAAACTCGCCAGACATTTTCTAAAAGAACAAAGATTGTTTCTGATTCAAGTATTTTATACCTAAAACTTCGATGCAGAAGGCTCAGAGGTTTTGTCATTTTGAATCTATGTACTACCCATTTCCAGTCGTGCTATAGAATGACCGTTGCCGTTATGTCAAATAATCACTACTCCTTTTATGAAAGACCGGTTAAGGGGACTATATGTATAAAGCAAGTGAACAAAATGAAATCTGGAGTTCTCAAAAATGGGAGCGAATATAAAAAAAGTTTCCAGTGCAAAAACTACGTGCAGGTTTGAAAAACGCAGCATCGCCAGCACTGACCGGCCCTTTCGCGACGCCCTCAAATTCTATTCTGAATCTCACTCGGATCAAGGTGCACTTTGGCCACCCCATAAAATTACTCGCTGGGATCAGCCGCTGTACTAATCAGCGATTTGAGCCACGTTTTATGCCGTTTTTTTTATTTCCCAATCTAGTCACCCACCGTCCCTATCTTGTACCCATGAACGACAGACACCCTCCACCAGAGGAAATGCAATCACTGCCTGTGGAGGAATCCCTGGACCGTTGTGATCCTACTGCTTGATCCTACTTCCAGCCGCGTGAGCGTGCTTGGCTAGTATACCATTCTATCCACAGGTGCTAGAAGTAACCCCTTATCAATAAGGTCAACCGTTCACCCTATTCAAATGAGGTGGGGGGGGATAGCGTTGGTGATTTTGGAAAGGGGAGGTTTCCCATTTCGAGTTAAGCAAGGTTAACTATGTCTGGGAAATGTGCGCGAGGGTCGTAGAAGGGTGGTTGTTCTCGGCGGATTTTTCGACAATTTTGGACAAACTTCCATGCAAGTAAAGTGAACTATACAATATCGGTTGATTTGCCGCTTCATTGTACCAATTTACCCCCGCTCGATAGCCATTCTGGAGGAAAGGTCTCAGAATCAATTACTATAGAAACAGTCATGACGGTGAGGGCAGCGGTCGGGTGCATTGGAGGGGGAGGGGGGAGCTTTCGAGACTGATGGCGGCGGGCAGCGCATCCCTGCTAAAGGGGAAGGCCGAGGGGAGGGGGTGCAAAAATTTCGGGAGTGTTGATGCGGTGGCTGACTCCGATTGAAGTGAGACTTCACTCTGAGACATCATATAAACACAATTAGTCAAGTTGCAACAAAATAAACAAATTTTATTGTAAAACATTAAAATTACTAAACGAATAGCGAGTCTGATACATTTGTTGGCGTATTTTAATCCAGCTAAACGTCTACATCCATTCCCACCCTTTGACATATTTCTTTTCTTGCGGTCTCCTTCTCGGATACCTGTAATAGAAAGGTTCCGGCTCCGGATACGACTCCACTGGTTCGTTGCTGCCAGGGGTTGCAATCGGCTCGGCTGAACCACTTTCCTTCGAAGGCCTTGCCTCACCACGTGGTGCATACATAGCACTGCCAGTAGTCTCATCTGTTGGTTCAGCAGACAGATTGGTCGTTGCAGTAGACGATGACTCCTTGGACTTTGATTCCCTCTTCCTCTGGTTTTTTGATGGTTGTGAATGCTTCTTAAATATCCCTAAGAAATTTCCCTTTCCCTTCGTAGCGCCATGCTTAGGAGATGGACCGGGTTTTGGTTCGCGTGCATGTTGTGGCGCTTGTGGAGGAGGGCTTTCTGAATCCGAAGTCATTTGAGCTTCTCGCCGCTTTCGTAAACATCGAATCAGTATCAACTGAGCTATCATTATCAGCGAGATCGCACCGAGCAAAAGGAACAACTTCATATAGGTGTGCATCCTGAAATTTATCCCCTTTGAGAATCAAAAAGTTTCCTCCACAGGCAAAAGTCAAAAAAGCACTACATACTTTGGAAAAGGTTAAAGTCCAATAAGATTACTGTCATAGAACAAGAAATTCGTGGAGTGAAAAAGTGATCAGCTTTTGTTCCGAAAACCATTCACTAGGATTACCTACCACTCATCTCGAAAACAGCATTCAGGACGAAGCAGAGTGATCAACTCCCGTGCTATTAGCTTAAACCCATTTATTGAAGAATGTGGATTGGAGAGA